TTTATGTATTATTTCATTTTCTATAACATTGTTATATGAAGGCTCCATGTACACTAGAGTATTACTGAAGAGAGAGGGTATGTACCCTAATGAGAATTGTTACGCCTCAAATGTCACTCTCTGTACCTCCTAAAGCCCAATCTCTATGGAGAATGAAGTGACTTTCTGAATTAACAAGACCCAAAAGAAGTTGAACTCATCAAGAAGACACAGTAGTAGAATCCAATGTAGTTTAACACAGGTTTATACATACAAAGGATTTTTTTTTTATGGGTTCTTGTAGGTAAAAAGACAATCCCCCTCTTTTCTTCTACTGTAGAGGCTGGCAGGAACTGGTCAGCAGAGTAAGCAGCATGGTAGTGGTGGTTGTGGCTCACTAGGATTAGCCCATCTAACAAGAAATCTCGGGGGAGATTCTGAAGACTATACCAAAACATAACATTTTTCAAATGTTAAGCTGTATGTTTAGGGCAACACAAAAATGGCCTTCAAGGCTCCTGCTGCATGACAACCAGCAAAGGAGAAGACCTTCTCCCTAAATGACTCAAGAGGAGGAGGCAGTTAAACATCTGAGTTTAGGCAATCATCACATGTGCTTGATGCACCATTCAACTTTTTGACCTTTAATAAAATGGGACCACCAGTACTAAGACACATTAGCCCGTACAGCACCCCCTCGGTTCTCCTGAACCGAAGGGGTCCTGGTGCCAAGGCTAGCCAAAGGATCGGCCGTGGCTACGGCCAGATCCTTCGGCAGCTTTGTGAATAGACCCCCATAGTGGCATGATGTAGGTGTTAGCAAGCTCTTTGATTTGACAAGCTTATGTAGTTATGTAGGACCCAGTGTAAAAAGTAAAATGGATGCAGTAAAACTCAGTTCATCTTATTGAAAGAAAGTGGACTTGAAGATGAATAGCTCACATAACCTTATACTATTTTCAGAGGCATTTTCAGAAAAGCCAGCCTTTCTGGCAAATGTCAGAACAGACAGTTTGGGAAGTATAATAATCCATGTTTTTTTTAACGCGTTAAAAGCGGTTTAAACCTACCCCTGTCTTCGCCACGAACGAAAATCTGAAAATTCTTGGGCGGCCGCAAAGCATCTTGGGGCGGGCGCATGCGCAGTTCAGATTTTCGTCCGGGAGACGAGGAGAGACACAAGGTAAGTATATGGACAGCGTGCACCCGCATGCAGACACCGTGAGACAGGAAGTGCCAGCAAGGACAGAGGAGTCAGCGCTGGATCGGAGACCCGCAGCAGCGCTGGAGGGACAGATGAAAACGAAAGGAAAGAAAAAGAAGATCAGATTAAGAAACATTATTTAAGGTAAGTGCTTTCATTAACATCGGGGGAAGGGAAAATACTTTTTTACTTTAATGTCACTTTAAAATACAACCAAAAACACCTGTATGACAATCTAAACAACTACCAAATCCAATTGCTATGTGATGCACAAGCCTCAAAGGTAAACAAAAAACTTCCTTTACCTTCCTCGACTGAGCCAATTCTTCCTTTATTTGTGTCTCACACGTTCCCCCTCCAAGACACTGCAGCTCAGGTGAGTTTCATCAACAAAGGCTGTGTTGTCCATCCAGAAAGCAGTGGGCAGGACTGGGTATGGTCAGGTGCTGACTAACAAGTTACAGGCTTTTGAATTAGCAGTGATAATGCTGATAGCCATGTCCCCCGCAATATTTTTTCACCTCACTGTAGTGCAAGCACTTATAATTACGTTCAGCAGCACACTTTTTTTTTTTTTAAAGCCATAGTTCCACTTTAGTTTTTGAAAGCTGGCAAAATAGAAAAAAATAAATTGCTCAAAGTCATACAATAAAGTATAGGTTACCTCATACTGAGATGTAATTTTTGCTTGTCATCATTCTAAGCCTATCACTTTAAGCAAATAGAGCATTTAAGCAGATTCCGGTTATGCTGCACACTTTTCTGATATCCAAGGAAACAGCGGAAGCCACTACTTCTAACTCTTACTGTTTGCCTCAATAATGGCTTGGCTAATTGCATTCATTCATTTATTCATTGTGTGGTTCACTGGACTTTGACCCTACATCATATAATTAAATTCTAATGGAAAATCTATCTCCCTGGGAAACAGCACTTTAAATGTGCCTGATTATTTACATATAATTCCAAAAATAAATTGTATATAAAGAAAGGGGGACATAGATAGATAGATAGATAGATAGATAGATAGATAGATAGATAGATAGATAGATAGATAGATAGATAGATAGATATTGATACAGATATACTGTACAATACACAGCATTCTGAAGATTTTTTTAAAAGTATAATGCAGGTGGTTAGGTGGTAAGGTATCTGCATATTACTGTATAATAATGGAACTTCGTATTGCTTTATAATCCTCCCTACAGTCCATATAGAAAAGGAATGTACAACAATTTCATAAAACCTTGAGATAATATTTTATTTACACATAGATCAGTGTCAGCCTCAGGTTATATGTCTCGCTCTGCCAAATTGTAGTCTATCACCTTCCTCCAGGTGAAAAAGATTTTGCTACTTCTCACTAAAACTATTGTTAGTAATAGACATGTGCACTGCCAAAAAATTTGTTTAGTTTCGTTTCGTTTTAAATTCGGATTTGTGTTATTTCGTTTTTCGGGATTCCGGTGTGGAAGTCAATTCGGATTCGGAATTCGGATTTGGACGAAATTCGGTAGCGGTAGTTCGAACGTTCGTTTCGTTTTCTGTTCTTACTCGTTTCTTATTAGTTTCTTATTAGTTTCGTTCGTCCGTTTGCAGCAAAGTGACATGTGAGGGGGAAAAAATATTTTTCTCCTTCTCTAATGTCACTTTGCTCCAACAAACGAAACGAATAGGAAACGAATAAGAACAGAAAACGAAACGAACGTTCGAACTACCGCTACCGAATTTCGGAAATGGAAATTCAGATTCGTTTGCATTCATTATGTCTGTAATTCGGATTCGGAACGAAACGAATCGCACATGTCTAGTTAGTAAATCTTACATGAAGAAAAGGAACATTGTGCCTTTAACATATCCCCAACCTCACATATCCTTCTTACATTTTCCCCTTATTTCCACAATGATGCTTCATTGCCACAATTACAAATCTGCACCATAAATAGTAAATCTAAGAGGGTTATTCACTAATGGGCTGAAGGTTCCAGCCGTAGCTTTGGCTGATCCTTTGGCTCACTTCGGCCGCCGGAGCCCTTTGGTTCAGTCGAACTGAAGGGCTGCTGTATGGGCTATTCACAATAGCCCGTACAGCAGCCGAAGGCAGCCGAGCGGCTCAGCCAAACCGTACTCATATGCTTTGGCTCGGCTGAGCCATAGTGACAGCCAAAGAGGGGAGAATGGTCTGCCGAAGCAGACCATTTTTCCCGCACCTGGCAACGGAGCTAGCGTTGATCTCACTGCTAGCTCCGCCCAATTGTTTATGTTTTTCCGGAATCTGTCAGACTCTTAATGCTGCGGCGGGAGTTCGTTGCATGCGGTCGGCTCTGCGGGCATCGTTTTTGTTTCATTTCGATGAGTCGTCGTCGTGGACAATGCTGGACGTTGTGATTGACCATGGATTATATAGTTGGGAATTTTTTTTTATTAATAAAGTACTTTTTGTTCAATTAAATAAGTTTTTTCAAAAGTCTGGTCTCTTTATTTAAATGTTTTAACCTTTTAGTGAATGGGTAGGGGTACAAGTACCCCTTACTCATTCACAGGGGGGGCGCATCTGGGGTCTATTAAAGGGGTACCCCGATGCAAATAAGCCCCCCTGCCCGCCGACCCCCACAACCAACTCCCCAGGGCTTGTGGGGAATAGACCCTTGTCCCCATCGGCACGGGGACAATGTGCTTATCCAGGGGGGGCTCTGGAAAAGCACCTTCCTAATGTGGAGGGCATGTGGCCTGGTATGGCAGGGAGGGGGGGGAGCTCGCACTTGGCAGGAATGGCAGGAATTAGACTAAAATTATAATTAAACTCTAACAAAAGAATACTGTTTTTGTAAGCAAAATAAGATTACCGTTTTGGTTAGTCCTCTTACTGTGTTTCTGTTTTTGTTCCTGCACTGTGCATACTGAGTAGATAGTTTGTATTACCTCTTTGTAGATGTGTGCATGCTCTAGCAGTAGCTGAACATTAGTTTTACTGTAGTGACTATGGCAGAACGTGGCAGTACACCTTTCATTTGCATGGATGCTTGTAGCCCAGCTCAGGAATGCACAGCAAAGGGTGACAGCACTGCAACTAAATGGGATAAGCAGTCACGTTGTCAAGAAAGTGCCTGTGCATATACTTTGTTTGTATGATTTTTTGCTATTACAGTAACATACAGTATAAATAAAACATATTTGGTTTAAGAGTTTGGGTTTAGATATACTTTAAAGTGACACTAAACTCAGGAGTAAAATCTTAAAAATGCTTTAAAATACCTTAACTATTAATAAAATAGTATCTTATTTGTGTATCACTCGGCTGTAGATCCTCAAATCATCTCTGAATTCATGCTGACACTGTCCTTCCTTCTGGAAGGTGACTTTTTTTTGTTCCCCATGGTCCCTGTGTGTGTTGTAAAGTAGCCACCACTCCACGCTCACTCACATGATGGACTATAATCTCACATTTAGTTTACTAATTTGTATTGAGATTGTAGTCAATCACAAGAGCGAGCTTGGAGCGCTGACTATTTTACAACACAGACAGGGGACCATGGGGAGCAAATGTAGCCACCCTCCAGAAGGAAGGACAGTGTCAGTATGAATTCAGAGATGATTTGAAGATCTACAACTGAGTGATACACAAATAAGATACTTTTTTATAGTTAAGGTATTTGAATGCATTTTTTTTAAGATTTAACTCCTGAGTGTAGTGTCACTTTAAAGCTTTTAAATAATAAATAGTATCAGTATTCATGATATGTGTTTCTTCATCTGTCTACACCTTAACCACTTCTATTTAGTTTAATTATCTTTATGTTTCTACCCCATATAGGTCGATCTGTTTCCAAAATGAACAGCTGTGTCAATAATTATAACAATGACACCATCCTCAGTTCCCCGGCTTCCCGCATCCCTGGTGCCATATTTCTGGGATTGGCGGCCACCTTGGGTTTACCTGGGAATACATTTATTATCTGGAGCATTTTGTGGAAAATGAAAGGCCGGGAAAAGTCAGTAACTTGCATCTTAATCCTAAACTTGGCAGTGGCTGATGGGACAGTCCTTCTCCTCACTCCATTTTTTATCATATTTTTGGCCAAGAAGAGCTGGATATTTGGCAGACCTGTCTGTAAAATTGCATATTACCTCTGTTGCCTTAACATGTATGCCAGCATTTTTATTATTGCTCTCATGAGCTTGGACCGGTTCCTAGCTGTTTTCCGACCATACCTGGCTCAGTCTCTCCGCAAACGTGATGTGGTGGTAAAGGTCCTTGTAGCCATATGGCTTCTAGCAGGTGCTTTGGCACTGCCAGCATTTGCTTTCAGGGAAGTGATAGTCAACAAAGACATGAATGCTACGATATGTGAACCTTGCCATGCCAGCCGAGCAGAAGCCATTTTCCATTACTCCTTTGAGACATTGGTGGCTTTCTTGCTTCCTTTTCCTGTGGTGTGTTTTAGCTATATGCTGGTGTTAATTAAACTAAAGTCAAGCCACTTTGGACAACGGTCACGGATCGAGAAGTTGATTGCTGTTATTTTGGTGACTTTTGCCATCCTATGGCTTCCATATCATGTAGTCAATGCTATGCAGGTGGCTGCCAATCTCACCACTGGAAGTATATCTGAGACTCTAGCAAAAGCAGCTAAAAAGAGCCGAGCTGGAGCCACTGCTTTAGCATTCTTCAGCGCGTGTGTCAACCCTTTACTGTATGCCTTTGCTGCTTCTGACTTGTTTAGGGTATTTGGAGTGGGTTTTGTAGCCAAGCTACTGGAGGGAACTGTGGCAGAAATACAAAAACGGGTTAAATCTCAACGTGAGCTTGTTAAAGGTCTTGTGAGAGTTGGGAGTCGGGGTGAGTCAGTGGAGCTTGAATTAAAAAATGGGGTAAAATTAGAACCACTTAATGGTGACTATGCATGTAATAGTTAGCAAGATGGTTACAAGTTGTAAAGATGGGCCTTACAAAATAGATGCAGCATAAAAAAAATTTTTAACAGCTTAAAGGAGAACTATGAGGTGAGTGATTTTCACTCAACATCATAGTTCGAGCCGACGTGTGACAATTAAGCTGTCACAGGTCGGCTCAATAGATCGGGAAGTGAGCGAGCACTTCTCGATCATGTCCCTGCAGAGAGCCGTGACTGTCACTCATGGCTCCCTGCAGGGATTCCCCCCTCCCCGCTACGATCCTCCAGCGCTGACTGGCGGAACGGACGGGGGAGGGGGCGGGCACAGCTGGCTCTGCCTTTAGATAGGCAGAGCCAGCAGTCAATCACGCAGCTGGGTGGATCTCGACAGTAATGTCAGGATTCGTCCCGGCTTCGGCGGTCTCAGTATACCACGAGCTGTAGCTCGCGATATACTGAGCTTTGGAAAGTCCATGGTCCCATCACACTCCTGACCGCAAAATCCCTTCAAGCTTTTGCTTGATACTGAGCTTTGGGTCACGGGAGGACCCTATTTTATGTCCTCCTGTGACCCTTAAGAGAACTATGGGGAAAAACACTGACCCCATAGTTCTCCTTTAAATGCCTTCTTTCTATGAGTATAAGCATAAAGTATTCCTCTGAGCAATTCTAAGATAACCATCTTTTTTGGAGAGAAGAAATGCTTCAGAGTAATGTTAAAGTTAACACATATGCATTCATGAATGTTGTTGACAGTTGACAGTCTCCAGAACATTTCGGTCACATGAAGGAAAACTACTCATTTATCCAAAGAACAACTGGTAAACCCGTTAATAAATTATTCACAGCAGTCATGTAAGCCTAATAGAGACTACTAGAGAATACTGCATAAAAGAGCCCATGAGTTATTATTTTAGCACTTCAAACTACAATGCAAAGGGTTTCTTTTTCAAGGATTTGATTTCATTATATCTTGCCATGCACACAATGATTTTACCAAGGACTGAACCATTTCATTACTGATTTCTTCTGAGGCTTGGGGTACCTTGTAAGTAAACTTGTTATATACTGTTGGGAGCACTGTAAGCAAAGAACAAATGCACAATAAAATTTTCAATGTCAATACAGGAAAATCACTTTCTTTGCTTGGGAGATTTATATGTATTTCAAAGCGGACCTTTACCCATATCTTTAAAAATAACAACAAAATCACCTTTAGAAATGTTTAGTAATGACAATCTACAAACACATACTTCTAGATAATTGGCGGCTTTGTATTCTTTGCATACCTTATTTCTCTTTTCTTCCCCAGTCTTCTGTCAGTGGCCATGTTTACTAAGGGCAGATTACTAGATCTCCTATTACTTCCTGTAACTCTGGCACATGTGACTAGGACATGTGACCATGCACACCATCTCAGGGAAGGAAAAGGCCTTTCCCTGAGATTTCATGATATTACAGATGAGATTTCCCAGCAATGCTCTGCTGACGGAAAGACAATCACAGTGTGCATTGCATTAGCAATCTGAAGTCATTTTGCCATTTCAAAGCCGGAAGTCAATGCTCTGCAAGTGTAAGTATTTCAAAATCACAGCATTTTACACCTGGCATGTCTATGTTATTATTAATCATCATACATAGAGGCATGTATTGGTAGAATTTGGTTTTTGAGTGTAAGGGTCGGCTTTAAGTACATATACACTGGTATTTTATGTTAAATCAAGCTGTAAGTTTTTATTGTACCAGCAGTTCATTGATATAATTAATTAATATATACTAAAGCTGTGTTTATGTTAGGCTAGAAATTTTTAACTAATTATTATATGAAATGAGTGTTAGTTATTATGCTATATACTAATAGAGAGTAATATATTATTCAGTGCCATTCATTATGTTGCATACAATTGGGCAAAAAAGTATTTAGTCAGCCACCAATTGTGCAAGTTCTCCCACTTAAAAAGATGAGAGAGGCCTGTAATTGGCATCATAGGTAGACCTCAACTATGAGAGACAAAATGAGAAAACAAATCCAGACAAATCACATTGGCTGATTTGGAACAAATTTATTTGCAAATTATGGTGGAAAATAAGTATTTGGTCAATATCAAAAGGTCATCTCAATACTTTGTTATATATCCTTTGTTGGCAATGACAGAGGTCAAACGTGTCCTGTACGTCTTCACAAGGTTGGCACACACTGTTGCTGGTATGTTGGCCTTTGTAGGTGACCAAATACTTATTTTCCACCATAATTTGCAAATAAATTTGTTCCAAATCAGCCAATGTGATTTGTCTGGATTTGTTTTCTCATTTTGTCTCTCATAGTTGAGGTCTACCTATGATGCCAATTACAGGCCTCTCTCATCTTTTTAAGTGGGAGAACTTGCACAATTGGTGGCTGACTAAATACTTTTTTGCCCCACTGTATGTTCCATTTACTTTGGCACTTGACTTAGTAAATCTTAGGTGGTTACTCAAAGCTCCCGAAGGCAGCCGAGTGAATAACCCAGCCAAAGTGAAGTGAGCTGAACGATGTTCGGCTATTCACTTTGGCTCAGTACGGCATATTTCAGCCATACATCGGCTGCCTTCGGAAGTGTAGAGGGACTTCGACTCAGCCGATCCAACATCTGGATTGGCTGAGCCGAAGCTCCAGCATCTCACTCGCAGCTGTTCACCCCTATTCTCATAGGGGCCGAACGGCAGTGAGTGAGTAGCCGAATACTGCCGAGCAGCATTTGGCTCAGCCATTCTGCTCGCTACCTCCGAGGTACCGAGCAGAATAGAAAATAAGTGAAAGGAATTTTTTTAAAAAGAGAGAGTTGAAAAAGGATTTAGAAAATGTAAATAAATAGATATTTTTAAGAAAAAAAAAGAAAAACTATTGGGTGGAGCTAGCAGTGACAGCTAGCTCTGCCCAACTGTTTCCTATTGGCCGACACCTGCCAGAGTCTTCTAGCGGGTCGCAGCCAATGAATAACAACTGGGCAGAGCCGGCCATGACGTCACGGCCGGCTCCGCCCAGTTGGTATTGTTTAATGACAGATCAGCATCCCCAGGTCATTCCCGGGCGCTGATCTGACATTACAACTGGGCGGAGCCAGCTGTGAGATCACGGCTGGCTCTGCCCAGCTGTCATTTGCTGGGCTAGTCTTTTATCATGAAACAAATACCCTTTTCAAAATCTAATCCAAAATTGGGCAGAAGCTTATTAACCCCTTCGTGATGGGAGATGTACACTGTATGTCCCGCCACGAAGTGCCCAAATGACTGGCCACGTACACTGTACGTGACCAGTTATTTGCAGCTCTGCAATGCTGATTACCATTCCTTAATGGATGACTCAGTATAGAGGCATCCATTAATGAAGAGCTAACCTTTTTCAGACACCCGATCCCTTTCAGGATTCGGGTGTCTGACAGTGAGAGCAGAGCCGCATTTGAAGCTCTTGCCATCACTCTGACAGCTGGTATACATCAGGAAATCCCAATGTATACCGGCTTTTTTTTTTTTTTTACTTTCAGCAATAGAAACATAATGTATCTATTCCTGAAAACAATGTTGAAGCTTTCTGATCATTGTTGGAACGATCAGAAAACCTTTAGTGACATCTGATCCTGAAATTTTTAAAACCCCCTCATGACAGTGATGTTCAAAGTATGTCTTTGTCACTAAGTGTGACACAGTGACAGTGACATTGTATGCTAGGTGACCACTTTTAGCTTTTAGAGAAAAAAGATTAAAATGTTAGGTTTTAGTTTTAGGCCGAGAAGTACAGAAACATTTCTAAAATCTAAGATGTGAGGTGAGGTTGCATTTTTTTTTCATAACTGGGGACACATAGTACTATGTCCCCAGTTATTTAAAAACAGTGGAGTGATCAGACGATCGCTCCAGTGTTTGTCCTTCTCACACGCAGGATCGGTAAGTATCAAGGGAGCGCTGTCATGTCGGATGGCCAGCGGTGAGGAGGAGAGAAGCCGCCCCGAGGACGAGCTGTGTCGGCCTCCTGGCGCCTTTGTTGCCATGCGCAGCTCGCACACCCCTAAGGCCGGCCCTGCCTGTCACCACCATCTGCTATCACATGGGGGGCTTGAAAGCCCCCCTATATGATAGCAATTAAAGTAAAAAACAATAAAAATAACGGTTTTTAAAAATAATATTAAATGTAATAAATGTAAAAATAATTTGTAAAAAAATGTAAACCCCCCAGCATGCGCATCTTCCTGTAAACACTCGTCAGGTACGCCTACATATGAGAACGACGCTGTTGGGTATTGCGGCGCAAGCTGGAGTGAGAGCAATAATTCTAGGGCCAATATTTACACGTATCTCCAAACTGATGACCTGTGGGGGCTTTTAAAGTGTTGTCTATGGACTTTTTGGGGTACTGAATTTTGGCACAGTTTTACGGATGCACAACATTTTTAATCTGGGCATGTTAGGTATCTATTTACTCATTGTAGAAAGAACTGGGTATTTTATTGTGTTTTGGGGCATTTAAGTGCATTCATCATTAAATTTTGGGGTTTGATAAGGAGTTGCGCTAATATCATGCAATATAAAAATTTGCAACTGTGGCTATTTTATTCTATAGAGTCTTGGCTTTCAGAAAAGATATAATGTTTGGGGGTTTTAAGTAATTTTCAGGCCTAAAATGTAGATTATAACATGTACACAAAAAATGAAAAAAGAAAGAGGCCTCGGTCACTAAGGGGTTAAACAAAAGGTTTACTTTAACATTCCACTTCCCCATTACTCACCTTTCTTTATACTGTGTCCTGTACTCTAGGAGGCAGAGAGATTATGGGATAATTTAATAACAAGTTCAGGCTTCCATAAAAATGGAACAGCAACTGGAGCTAATGTGTCAGGATAAAAAGAGTTATACATGTGACAAATATACATAGTGACAACTACAGACCAGAGGTATGGACACCACATATTTCTCTCATAGTACAAAAGTCTTTTTTCTTAATATTAAAAACTTTAGACAACAATGTAAAGAATTGCATCACAAGATGCAAGATGCATTTTAATGGCCAT